CAGTGTACCTTATGTAAGGTGGAGGTACAGTGTACCTTATGTAAGGTGGAGTACAGGTGAATGTGCTGGAGGTACAGTGTACCTTATGTAAGGTGGAGGTACAGTGTAGAATGTGAGGTGGAGGTACAGTGTACCTTATGTAAGGTGGAGGTACAGTGTACCTTATGTAAGGTGGAGGTACAGTGTAGAATGTGTCGTGGAGGTACAGTGTACCTTATGTAAGGTGGAAGTACAGTGTACCTTATGTAAGGTAGAGGGACAGTGTAGAATGTACGATGATGGAGGTACAGTGTACATTAAGTACGGTGATGAAGGTACAGTGTATATTATTACGGTGATAAAGGTACAGTGTTGAATGCAATTTTTCATTATTTTTTTACGGGGACTGTAATAAATATATATACTGTTGTGTGTGTAACAGTCCACAGAGATTTGTGGAGTCGACTGCCATCTCTCTGAATTATACGATCATATGTCTTATTGACCTCGCCTCGAGTCCTGCCAGTTCTCTCTCTCATTCTTGCACATGCACCAACCCTTTCTTTCCTTTATCTTTCTTCTCCTCACCCATCTATGTCTTTATATTTCTCCTTTCTTCATTTTCCTCTACTCATTTCTATTTTATTTTAGTCTGCCAACTTATTACTATTCCTCCTCCATGTCTTCCTCCACTCTCCTACCTACTCATCTTAGGACAGTCCTGCTACGATTGGAAAGCTTTCTGTCACCAGCTTACCGGACGGAGGATCGACTCTCCAAACTTCTTAAGGTGAATGTCTCAACATAACTCTCGGCTTTCATTAAGATATCTTCACGATACCCAATATAACATTTGATTTTAAATAAGATATCTTCACGATATCCTAGATAACCCTCGATTTTTAACAAAATATTCCTACAATAGCCAAGGTGTATTTTAACTTTTAGTCAGCTACCCACGATACCTAAGATAACTTTCGACTTTAAATAAGCTACGTTCACGATACTTAAGATAACTTTGGAGGTTAAGGTAGCAGGTGGAGCGCTCCTGAGCGAGGTAACTTGAGTGGCGAGGCTAAACTTAGCCCCTTGCTCATCATTACTTCCAGAGAGAACTACCAAACTAACTTACTTTGGTGTCTTTCTTAAAACTTACACCTACATACGACACCTGCAGCCATCCACCACACACACACACACACACACACACACACACACACACACACACACCACACACACACCACACCACACCACACACACACACACACACACACACACACACACACACACACACACACCACACACACACACCACACACACACTCACACACACACACACAAAATGGTAACTTACACACACCGTTCAGGAATCGTTCAGGACCCTGTACACCGTGTACGTTAGGCCCATATTGGAGTATGCGGCACCAGTCTGGAACCCGCACCTAGCCAAGCACGTAAAGAAACTAGAGAAAGTGCAAAGGTTTGCAACAAGACTAGTCCCAGAGCTAAGAGGTATGTCCTACGAGGAGAGGTTAAGGGAAATCAACCTGATGACACTGGAGGACAGGAGAGATAGGGGAGACATGATAACGACATACAAAATACTGAGGAACTGACAAGTTTGACAAAGACAGGATGTTCCAGAGATGGGACACAGCAACAAGGGGACACATTTGGAAGTTGAAGACGCAGATGAATCACAGGGATGTTAGGAAGTACTTCTCTAACCCCAGAGTAGTCAGGAAGTGGAATAGTTTGGGAAGCGATGTAGTGGAGGCAGGATCGATACATAGCTTTAAGCAGAGGTATGATAAAGCTCACGGTTCAGGGAGAGTGACCTAGTAGCGACCAGTGAAGAGGCGGGGCCAGGAGCTTGGACTCGACCCCTACAACCTCAACTAGGTGAGTACAACTAGGTGAGTACACACACACATATATACGACACATGCAGCCCCAGACACCCACACACACGACACCTGCAACCACATACACACGACACCTGCAACCAAACACACACGACACCTGCAACCACATACACACGACACCTGCAACCACATACACACGACACCTGCAACCACACACAGGACACCTGCAATCACATACACACGACACCTGCAACCACATACACACGACACCTGCACCAACACACACCTGCAACACATACAACGACACCTGCAACCACACACACACGACACCTGCAACCACACACACACGACACCTGCAACCACACACACACGGCGCCTGCAACCACACACACACGACACCTGCAACCACACACACACACACACGACACCTGCAACCACACACCCACGACACCTGCAAACCACATACACACGACACCTGCAACCACACAACATGACACTTGCAACCACACACACGACACTTTGCAACCACAAACACACACACAACACCTGCAACCACATACACACGACCCTGCAACCACATCACACACGACACCTGCAAACACACACACAGTCCTGGCAACCAATACACACGAACACTGCAACTAACACACACAAACACCTGCAACCACATACAACACCTCGCCAACCACATCCACACGACACCTGCAACCCCATACACACGACACCTTCAACTCACATACTACACTGACACCTGCACACCACACATGACACTGCAAGCCAACATACACACGATACCTGCAACCCACAACACCACGACACCTGCATCCACTTACACACGACACCGTCAATCCCACTCCCATGACACCTGCAATCTCACACACACGACACCTGCAACCACATACACACGACACCTGCAACCACCACACACGACACCTGCAACCACACACACGACACCTGCAATCACATACACACGACACTTGCAACCACACACACACGACACCTGCAACCACACACACGACACCTGCAATCACATACACACGACACTTGCAACCACAGGTAACAGGTCCTGGAGTATATAATAATATTACAGATACAGGTGAGACTAATCTCACTCTAATTCTCGTCTTTCAAAGCTCACTCATTCCCCATCTCTCGCCATCCATCCCTTTCTCTCCCCCTCTCTCTTTTCCTCCCTCTTTCTCCCACTCTTTCTCTCTCTCTTTCTCTCCCTCAGCGACTCCTCCAGGAGAGGCAGTAGGCATGGTGCCAAATTTATCCAGCAGTAACCCTCTCCTCTTTCTGAAATCCCCCTTGTGCCCCCTTTCCTGCTCTCTCATCCTTTTCCATCCATCCGTTCCATTTTCCTCTACGTTTCCCTATGCATCTGCTCTCTCTCTTTCTTTTCCCCATCTCTATTTCTCTCCCTCTCTCTGTCTCCTGCAGTAATTAAATTAACTCCAAGCACTCCATACGTACTGTGACAAGCTTCAATTTTTCCTGCACTGACCTTTCTCCTCCTCTATCCCCTTCCCTTCCTCTGTCTCCTTTCCTCCACTTCAGTATTTCATCTCTGTCTCCCCGGTACCCTCCCTGACACTGCTAGTCACTGCAGTAATGGCTTGCAGTGATCTGCAAACACAATATTTACATTTCCCAGCCTCTTCCACCACCACTAAATTACTGTTTAATCGATACATCAACTTCATCAATTTCCTGGTCTTCACATTATTCTTCGTCTCTTTCACGACGCATTTTTTTTTTTTTACTTTCTACATCTTTTCGTTATAAAATATTAAGTCTCTTGTTTCTAAGTAGAGAAAATAAAAATAAGTTTCTAAATGAATTAAATTTCGAATTGTTCTACCATTTAAATATCCAATTTCCCTCTTTTTCCATTAAGTTTCCTTTTTTCCACCCTGTTTCATTGATGGCTGGCTGGGTCAGAGGCTGGGACGGAGGCTCGAGCCTCTAATCACTTCCTGAGCTGAATGTCTCCATAAGAGCCAAGTGTTTCATTAAATACGGATCCTTTCTTTATTATTTTCTCGAAATTTAAGGTCGTCTCTCCCGTGGTCTTGGTTCCTTGGCGCCTAGACAGCCTCCACGTCAGTCTACAATTCCCAGACTGACTTTCTGACCCCTGAGTTTGAGATTCTCTCTCTCTCTCTCTCCTCTGCCCACGCTGCTGGCTCCTTTCTCCTAGCTACACTATTCTCTTCGTCCGTAGCAACTTCCCAGTATGAAATACTGATATCTAATACTTGTTCACAAGTATCCAATACCTTAGAAAGGAAGCTATAGATGGTTCGGTCCTGGATGGACCACTATCAACGTCCAGGACGGACCCAAACATCGTCTAAATAAAGTGAGAGTTATACGTGTATTGGTCCAGTCACGATACTGTGACTTTTATTGCTCTTGAACACACGTCTCCTTGACTCTCCCCCTCGTTCCTTCTTACACCTCCCTGTTCCTTCCTCAAAGGCAGGCTCTCTGTTCTCCATTTTCTCCCTTTCGCTAGAAGTGTCTCAAGAATATACAGTGGAACAGTAAATATCCACACTTCAGTTTTCCATCTCTCTCATTTGTTTCTCATTACAGCCAAACACTTCTCCATTACTAGCACCATTACGTGTTACCTGTGTACTTTACAGGCGTGTGTACCCATAGAAAACTTGTACATGTTGACCACAGAGAATGAACACATCTAGAAAGAGAATGTCACACACACACATACACACACACACATACACACACACACACACACAAACACACACACATAGTTAAAAAGAGGTATGATAAAACTCATGGAGGAGGAAGAGTGACCTAGTAGCGACCAGTGGAGAGGCGGGGCCAGGAGCTGTGACTCGACCCCGGCAACTACAACTAGATGAGCACAACTGAGTACACATATTGTTCCACTTCCTAAGGCGGAAGTATTTCTTCCGCCTTAGAGCTGTCAGGAAGTGGAACAATCCGGAGAGTGAAGTAGTGGAGGCAGGATCCATACATAGCTTTAAGAAGAGGTACGATAAGGCTCTTGGAACAGGGAGATAGTGGAGCTAGCAACGACCAGCGAAGAGGCAGGGCCATAAGCTGTGAATCGACCTCAACAACCACAAATAGGTGAATACAAATAAGTGAATACAGTACTCACCGGGCATGATAGAGACCGTTTTGAGCGCCCTGAGCACTCTGAAGGTCCTGAGACCGGCCAGGTTGCCCAACTGCACATCCATGTCACCCAGTTCAATGACCAGCGTCACATAACCCGAGGCGATGACCACGAAGTCGAGCCAGTTCCACGGGTTGCGCAAGTAAGTGTACTTGTTGAGGATGAAGCCCTTGGCCACGGTCTTGATCATCATCTCGGCCGAGTAGATGGCCAGAAACATGTACCTGCAAGATGCAACGCCAAAGGTTGAAAATTAGCTTCAAAACGTAGGGTAGAAAAATGGGAGGGGAGGAGGAGGAGGAGGAGGATGGGGTTGTTAAGTTCACGGTAAATGGTGGAAAGATGGAAGAAAATACGGTAAAGAGTAGACAGATTAAAGAAGACAGGGTAGATAGTACAAAGTTGGAAGAAAACATGATAGGCAGAAGAAAGATGCATAAAGAACAACAATATACTACTACTACTACTACTACTAATAATAATAATAATAATAATGTGGTAGTAGGTTGGTAGACAGGAACCAGCCAGGGAGGTACTACTGTCCTGCCAAACGAGTGTGAAACGAAAACTTGTAATTGTTTTACACAAAGATAGGAACTGCTGGTGTCTTTTCTTTCTCATAATACGTAATATAACAAATACATCTTGGCACTACTACTACTACTACTACTACTACTTCTTACACTTAATTCATAGATGAATGGTTCAGAGAACCGACATGTTGATAAATTAGACACATGTGCAACTCTTGGGTATCTTTATTGAGGAAACGTTTCGCCACACAGTGGCTTCATCAGTCCATACAAAGGAGAATCTTGAAGAACAGGAGGAGAATGAGGTAATCAGTCCCTCAACCTTGAGTCGATGTGGTCAGTCTATCAATTTTGAATAGAATACGGCATACGTGCTGAGAAGGAGTTTATAAGCTCCTTCTCAGCACGTATGCCGTATTCTATTCAAGATTGATGGACTGACCACATCGACTCAAGGTTGAGGGACTGATTACCTCATTCTCCTCCTGTTCTTCAAGATTCTCCTTTGTATGGACTGATGAAGCCACTGTGTGGCGAAACGTTTCCTCAATAAAGATACCCAAGAGTTGCACATGTGTCTAATTTATCAACACTTAATTCATACTACACATACCTGTAAATATACGTGTATACACACTCATTTGAGTTTTTTCTTATTTTTAATAGGCCTTATTCTTATATCATTTTCCTTTCATCTCCATGGGAAAGTGGAGACAAATCCTTCCTCAATAAGACACACGTATGATAAACAGTCACTAAAATACTAGAAGCAAGGGGCTGGTAACTCCTGTTTAATTTGCAAAACTGACGAAGAAAACTTCAACTGTGGATGTCTGAATGTGGATGGATGTAGTACGGATGGCAAGAAAGTATTGACTGTAAATGTAATGAAGCTGGATGCTGGATGTACTAACTCTAAATGAAACAAAACTAGACAGAGTAGGAGAGTTTCAGTGTGGAGAAGTGAATGGGTTTAGGTGAGGTGTATCTGAGAGAATCAGAACTAAGGAAGGAATAACGGTAACGTTAAATGATCATTTATGGAAATATAAGATGGAATAAAAATTTATAAATTCAAGGATTACTTGAATTAAAATCAGGGTAGGATGTGAGGAGTGGGTTATACTAAGTGTTTAAGCATCTGCGGAAGACAGGAGTGTGGAGGAGAGACGGAGATTCTGGCGTTAAACGAGTGTTTAGGAAGATTTATACAACCTCGTTTTGAAGCTACGTAAGGTTTTTATGTAGCTTCAATGACCCTACTAGGCAAGGAATCCCAGTCATCGACGATTATTTCGGAAGAAGTACTTTCCTACATTCTTTCTAAACCTAAACTCATCCAAACTGAATCCATTATTTCGAGTTCATTCTTGGAGAACTACCTTCAGTACTCTATTTGTATTTCCTTAATTTATGCCTATCTTCCACTTATACACTTTAGTCATAACTCCCCTCATTCTACGTCTTACAAGAGAAAGTAGATTCAGGGCTCTCTATCAATGTATAGAAGATATCTTATACAGTGGATTAATTTTGTTATCCGTTTCCATATCTTCTCCAATGAATTTGTATCCATTCTGTAGTATCGGAAACCAGAACCGAGCTGCATAATCTAAACGAGACCTTACTAATGATGTACAGAGTCGTATTATAACCTCTGGAATGCATTCAAGTAATTTGTTTGCTTTATTACGTAAGCTTAGACACTTTTGTCTTGGCTTCAGATTACTACTTATCATAACTAATAATTTACCTACAACTGAGGTCAGGCTTAATGGGCGATGATTTAATGATAATGTCTTATTCACTGTTTTAAAATTTGAAATTATTTTATCCATCATCCACATCTAAGATTCTGCTTGAAGAGACACATTAAAAACGTTAGTTAATGATCCACAAAAGTTTCGTCTTGCATTCTTTAAGAGTGACTCACGTAATTGTAATGACGCGACGGTCTGGAGTTTTGAGACTCTCTGATCGCGAGTTCTAACCCCACCCGTGGTATAGTTTGGTTCTTTAAGTGCCCTTGAGGAAAGATCATTAAGGCCTGGAGACTTTATTTTGTTTTAGTTGGTCAACATGTTTGATTACCTTATTACTTATGACTGATATTGCATAATTTGTTTTCCTCGGGTTCACTATAATAATTAATTGCAGAAATATCGTTTGCGTCTCGAGGGAAAAAGGCAACGAAATAATTAAAAAAAAAATTGAGCACATTTCTTTCTCATTGTCAGTAAGATATCGAGAGTTAGTTTTAAGTGGATCTAACTTTTCTTTAACCTTCGTTCTATACACTCGGAAAAACTTTTCGAATTTGTTTTCGAATTCTTAGCAACTTAATAGTCTCGTTTAGTTCTTCTTATCCTCTTTTAAGCAGCTCTTTTAATGTGATGATTTCACCTCTTTTAATATGATGATTCTCACCTCTTTTAATATGATGACTTTCACCTCCTTTAATGTGATGACTCACCTCTTTTCAAACTATATAAATTCTTTTTTTCTCCCGTAAATTTTGAGTATCCTGTTCATCCGTTTCGGATCATTTCTATTCCAGCTCATTTCTCTATACAGAATAAATGTTCTTTGGTCATCGTGTATTGTGTTCAGACAACTGTCAAGCTGATAGTTGTCTTCGTTACCCAAGTTCACACATGATAGGTGTTCTCTCAGCCCATTGTAATTTGCTAAAGGAAATCTGGGATCCTTACTGAGTTATATTTACTTACATTCAAAGTTCAGTGTAATAGATTTGTGGTAGTTCGTGCCAAGCTCTTCTGTAATCTCTAGATTATTAACAAAGTTTCCTTGTTATTCCCTCGTCAACATCATTAATGTAAATTATGACTGACCTGTGACTGATCCCAGGTAAGACTCTGCTTCCTATTGGTCGCCACGCCTCGATACTAGTCAATACACTTCTCCCAGTAACATGACCTGTGGCTTTCTTTAACAGTCTTTTGTGTGGTACTCTACCAAAAGCCTCAATGAAATCCAAAATATACAATATCATATTATTTATCATGTTTAACTGCTACAAATGCTTTACTAAGAGTCAGTAAATTAGCCAGAACCAGATCAAGCAGGTTGTTTCCCTGCTCATTCCTGTCCTCCACTATCTCTGCTGCTTCTCTTATCACATGAAGCCACTGAATTACCATGACCAATTTTAACCAATTATCCCACTTCATTCTGCCTACTGCTGTCATTCCCTCAAAGATCCATAACATCGTAACAGCCCAGTTCTACATTGCCCTATTTCATTCTTTTCCCACAAAAACCTATGCCTAAAAATATTTCAAGATCAAAGGTCTATCAGCTCCCTACACTGAGCTAGCTAATACCTCCAACCCAGCCTTAATTAAATTTAAAAATACCATAAAAATGCATTTATTTAACTTTTCTTTTCTCATTTATATTCTAGTTCGAATTCTCTACAATCATTTAATAAAAAATATTTTAATTTACGTTTTTTTAAGAAAAATCGACTTGAAAAAAAAAATGCTCCCCCTTACCGTACGCAAGCATTTAAAAAATTTGAATCCGATCTGATGAGACATTCTCCAGTTATGACGAAATACAATAGAAAAGCTGGCGGAGAAAAAAAAATCAGGCAACAACATGAAGGTCCTTTTTCTGGAATAACTAAAAAACCAGATCAATAAAAGAGAAAAAATAATAAAAGAGCTTCAAAAAGACTAATAAAAGTAAGACTAATGAAAGCAAGACAAAAGTAAGACTAATGAAAGCGAGACAAAAGTAAGACTAATGAAAGCGAGACAAAAGTAAGACTAATGAAAGCAAGACAAAAGTAAGACTAATGAAAGCAAGACAAAAGTAAGACTAATGAAAGCGAGACAAAAGTAAGACTAATAAAAACAAGACTAATATAAGTAAAAGTAAAGAAAAAACCTAATAAAAGCAAGACTAATAAAAGCAAGACTAATAAAAGTAAGGCTAATAAAAGCAAGACTAATAAAAGCAAGACTAATAAAAGCAAGACTAATAAAAGTAAGGCTAATAAAAGCAAGACTAATAAAAGCAAGACTAATAAAAGCAAGACTAATAAAAGCAAGACTAATAAAAGCAAGACTAATAAAAGTAAGGCTAATAAAAGCAAGACTAATAAAAGCAAGACTAATAAAAGCAAGACTAATAAAAGCAAGACTAATAAAAGCAAGACTAATAAAAGCAAGACTAATAAAAGTAAGGCTAATAAAAGCAAGACTAATAAAAGCAAGACTAATAAAAGCAAGACTAATAAAAACAAGACTAATAAAAGCAAGACTAATAAAAGCAAGACTAATAAAAAACAAGACTAATAAAAGCAAGACTAATAAAAGCAAGACTAATAAAAGCAAGACTAATAAAAGCAAGACTAATAAAAGCAAGACTAATAAAAGCAAGACTAATAAAAGCAAGACTAATAAAAGTAAGGCTAATAAAAGCAAGACTAATAAAAGCAAGACTAATAAAAGCAAGACTAATAAAAGCAAGACTAATAAAAGCAAGACTAATAAAAGCAAGACTAATAAAAAACAAGACTAATAAAAGCAAGACTAATAAAAGCAAGACTAATAAAAGCAAGACTAATAAAAGCAAGACTAATAAAAAACAAGACTAATAAAAGCAAGACTAATAAAAGCAAGACTAATAAAAGCAAGACTAATAAAAGCAAGACTAATAAAAGC